ACACGGCCAGGTCTCTGATCTCCTCCGCCCGTCAGGAAGTCCAGGATCCAGTTGCAGAGGGAGGTGTTTAGTCCCAGGATCCTTAGCTTAGTGATGAGCTTTGAGGGCACTATGGTGTTGAATGCTGAGCTGTAGTCAACGAATATCATTCTCACGTAGGTGTTTCTCTTGTCTAGGTGGGAAAGGGCAGTGTGGAGTGCAATAGAGATTGCATCATCTGTGGATCTGTTGGGGCGGTATGCAAATTGGAGTGGGTCTAGGGTTTCTGGGATAATGGTGTTGATGTGAGCCATGACCAGCCTTTCAAAGCACTTCATGGCTACAGATGTCAGTGCTACGGGTCGGTAGTCATTTAGGTAGGTTATCTTAGTGTCCTTTGGCACGGGGACTATGGTGGTCTGCTTGAAACATGTTGGTATTACAGACTCAGTCAGGGACATGTTGAAAATGTCGGTGAAGACACTTGCCAGTTGGTCAGCACATGCTCGGAGTACACGTCCTGGTAATCCGTCTGGCCCTGCGGCCTTGTGAATGTTGACCTGCTTAAAAGTCTTACTCACATCGGCTACGGAGAGCGTGATCACATAGTCATCTAGAACAGCTGGTGCTCTCATGCATGCTTCAGTGTTGCTTGCCTTGAAGCGAGCATAGAAGTGGTTTAGCTCGTCTGGTAGGCTTGTGTCACTGGGCAGCTCGCAGCTGTGCTTCCCTTTGTAGTCTGTAATAGTTTTCAAGCCCTGCCACATCCGACGAGCGTCAGAGCCGGTGTAGTACGAATCAATCTTAGTCCTGTATTGACTCTTTGCATGTTTGATGGTTCGTCAGAGGGCATAGCAGGATTTCTTATAAGCGTCCGGGTTAGAGTCCCGCTCCTTGAAAGCGGCAGCTCTACCCTTTAGCTCAGTGCGGATTTTGCCTGTAATCCATGGCTTCTGGTTGGGTATGTACGTACGGTCACTGTGGGGACGACGTCATCGATGCACTTATTGATGAAGCCATTGACTGATGTGGTGTACTCCTCAATGCTATCTGAAGAATCCCGGAACATGTTCCAGTCTGTGCTAGCAAAACAGTTCTGAATTTGTATTTGTGGTCCTGGCAACTGGACCTTTTTTGGAACACCATTATTTTTGTCTTACTGAGATTTACTGTCAGGGCCCAGGTCTGACAGAATCTGTGCAGATGATCTAGGTGCTGCTGTAGGCCCTCCTTGGTTAGGGACAGAAGCACCAGATCATCAGCAAACAGTAGCTATTTGACTTCAGATTCTAGTAGGGTGAGGCCGGGTGCTGCAGACTGTTCTAGTGCCCTCGCCAATTCGTTGATGTATATGTTGAAGAGGGTGGGTCTTAAGCTGCATCCCTGTCTCAACCACACTCCTGTGGAAAGAAATGTGTGTGTTTTTTGCCAATGTGTTTGTGTACATAGATTTTATAATGTCATATGTTTTTCCCCCAACACCACTTTCCATCAATTTGGATAGCAGACCCTCATGCCAAATTGAGTCAAAAGCTTTTTTGAAATCAATAAATATTTTTTTTTTTTGTCAGTTAGGGTGTGCAGGGTGAATACGTGGTCTGTTGTATGGTGATTTGGTAAAAAGCCAATTTTACATTTACTCAGTACATTGTTTTCACTGAGGAAATGAACTAGTCTGCTGTTAATGATAATGCAGAGGATTTCCCCAAGGTTGCTGTTGACGCATATCCCACGGTAGTTATTGGGGTCACATTTGTCTCCACTTTTGTGGATTGGGGTGATCAGTCCTTGGTTCCAAATATTTGGGAAGATGCCAGAGCTAAGGATGATGTTAAAGAGTTTAAGTATAGCCAATTGGAATTTGTGGTCTGTATATTTTATCATTTCATTGAGGATACCATCAATACCACAGTTCTTTTAGGGTTGGAGGGTTTGTATTTTGTCCTGTAGTTCATTCAATGTAATTGGAGAATCCAGTGGGTCCTGGTAGTCTTTAATAGCTGATTCTAAGATGTATCATTGATCATGTATATGTTTTTGCTGTTTGTTCTCTGTTATAGATCCAAAAGATTGGAGAAGTTGTTTATTAATACATCTCCATTTTGGATAGATAGCTCTTCGTGTTGTTGTTTGTTTAGTGTTTTCCAATTTTCCCAGAAGTGGGTATGGATTCTTCAATTACATTGAACCAATTTCTGACATGCTGTTCCTTCTTTTTCCATAGTGTATTTCTGAATTGTTTTAGTGATTAACCATAGTGAAGGCTCAGGTTTTCTGGGTCTCTATGTTTTTGTTTGGATATGTTTCTCAATTTCTTTTTTTAGGTTTTTGCATTCTTCATCAAACATTTGTCATTGTTGTTAATTTTCTTCGGTTTACTGTTTGACATTTTTAGATTTGAAAGGGAAGCTGAGAGGTCGAATATACTGTTTAGGTTTTCTACTGCCAAGTTTACACCTTCACTATTACAGTGAACCATTTTGTCCAGGAAGTTGTCTAGAAGGGATTGAATTTGTTGTTGCCTAATTGTTTTTTGGTAGGTTTCCACACTACTTTCCTTCCCATTATAGCATATCTTAATATTATTCAGTTCCTGAAAATGCTGTCATCTCCAGGTAGGTGTTTGTCCCCCTGTGTCCTGAGGGTGTCAGGTTATTGTCCAGTTCTGGCATTTAGGTCGCCACAGACTAGTACATGTCCCTGGGCCTGGAAATGATTGATTTCCCCCTCCAGGATGGAGAAGCTGTCTTCATTAAAGTATGGGGATTCTATTGGGGGGATATAGGTAGCACACAGGAGCATGTTTTTCTCTGTTGAGATCATTTCCTTTTGAGATTCTAGCCAAGTGTAAAATGTTCCTGTTTTGAATAATTTAATAGAGTGAGTTAGGTCTGCTCTATACCAAATTAGCATATCCCCTGAGTCCCTTCCCTGTTTCACACCTACCAGCTCTCTGTAACCTAGAGGGCAAGCAGTGGGTCCATCTCCTCTATACCATGTTTCTTGTAGGATGACAATGTTAGTATTTCTGCTTTATTTGGTGAAGTCCAGGTTCCTGCTCTTTAGGCCAAAGGCAGATGACCTCAGGGCTTGGATATTCCAGGATGAGATAGTGAAAGCTTTGTGTTCCATAAACTGTCCGATGTTGTTAGTCGTGTGGTTTGGCCTCAGACCAGTAAGTGTGAGCAGAGCCTGCTGAGCATCTGGTACATGCCATTGGCTTGGGCTAGTGTAAGAGTGGGGGTTGGGCCTGTTTGTCTTCTCACAGCCTGGGTGTAAATGTGACTTTCATGTTGAGGTCTTCTTTGTGGGAGTGGGGGGCATGGGGTGGGCAGGAGGGGCATAGGTCTGAATTGAGGGGGCCTAAATGTGGTGTGGGCATGGTTGACTTGGGGGTGTGTTGATTGGTTGGGGTGGGGGTGTGGATGTGGCTGGTGCTGTGGTCTGGATGTAGGTCCTCTTGGCGTGGGTCCTCTATGTGTAGGTTCAGGGTGGGATCCCGCAGGTCTGGGAGAGTGTCTCGCTGGTCTGGGCGGGGAGTCTGTTGATCTGTTGTTCCTGTGTGAGGTGTTGGGGCTGTGGTTGAGGGCGATGTCCTTTAGTGTCCGGGCGAAGGTGGGCACTGCTGCCTTGTATAGGTGGACCTGGTCATAAAGGCTGTTCAAGTCCAGGGTGGAGTGGTGGGCCAGGTAGACATTTGGTTTTGAGGCTCAATCACGAGAAATACTTGTTTACCCGGCCTGCTGTATGGTAGCAGGGTGGAAGTCTTTTCATGGTAACAGGGTTGAGATAACCACTTGTGTGTTGGGGAAAGTAGAAGAAGCTTTTTCTTTCACTCCCTTGAGTGCTGTGGCCACCCTTTCCTGCTGTGTTCTCAGGTCGTTTGTGCCTGTGTGTATTATTATGTGGCTGGGTGATCCTAGTTGGTCCTCAGACAGAAGGTCTAGGGCGCACTGGGTGTTTGGACACCAGAGTTTAGACACTGTATGTTTGGGAAAAGTTTATTTTCTTGTAAATATTTCCTGTTTGAGTCCATAAAGAGTACAATCTGTGGCTTGTGTATGTCCTCAGTGGGTGTGGGGGGGTTGTCAGCAGGGCTATCAGGGTGGCTGACAGAGGGGTGCTCAGAGGGGTTGGGATCCCCTGGGCTTGGGGTTTCTCATTTGTCTGTCCTGCTGTGATGTCGAGGATATGGTCAGGGTCTGAGGTGGACTGTTCTGCTGTGGTGTCAAGACTTTGGTCAGGGTCTGAGGTGGGCTGTTCTGCTGGCTTCTCTGCGGGGGTGGCCAGCTCTCTAATGGGTTGTTCTCTGTCACACGCCATCCCCCTCACCTTCTCCTCCAGCACTCTGATCCTCTCCTCTAGTGCTCTGTTCTTCTCCTGCTCCTGCTCTTTCTCCTGTTGATGTTGTCTCACCACAGTCCAGAGTGCAGACATGTCTCTCTCCACCTCCAGCTCTCCGGGTCTGGTTGATGGGGTGTGGTTGAGCTGGACAATTTTTTTGTGCTGACTGAAGTGTAATCACCTGCTGTTCCAGCTCCACCTGCCTTACCTCCAGCCGGGTGAATTTATCCTTCATTTCAATGAGGTAGTTGGACTCTGTGCTGGAAGGTTGACTTTCCGCTTGGGGTTCCTCGTCAAATCTGATTCGATTTGATTTGTATAATGAGGAGGTCTGGTCTGACATGCTTCGGGTGGGGGTACCTTATCCTGCTGAGAGACCTTATCCTGCTGAGAGACCTTATCCTGCTGAGAGACCTTATCCTGCTGAGCTATCTCTTTGATTAGGTGAAAGTCCAGCTGGAACTGTTTGGGGTTGCCCTGTCCATTACTGTTCCAGACTTGTACAGGTTGACATTGGCTGACTCAGAGTCCGCGTTGTCGAGTATGCTGAGTTTCCACCCATTGCCTCTCTCTCTCTCTCTCTCTCTCTCTCTCTCTCTCTCTCTCTCTCTCTCCAGTAGGGTTAGGCAGCCATGGACCTGTTCAGCCAGCTGATCCTAGTCATCTTGGTCACCAGTTGCCTCTCCTTCCAGTGGCTCTTCCACCGGGTCAGTCCCTGGGTCTCCCCCCGCGCCAGTCCTGGCTTCCTACGCCTGGCAGACCAGCAGAAGGTGGAGTGGAACTCAAGGTACAGGACACTGGCTACTCGCTGCAACACTGATATCATATGATCATTCTTCATGTGTCACTACATACATGCTTACATTGGAAGCTAATGTAGAATAGATAGCTTCTTCCATTGCATCGTCCAACAAAATTGTGGGTCAGAATATTTACTGTAAAGTTTCGACAATCTGCGATAAAGTTGTTATTGTTGTTAATTTTTCAACGCTTCAAGTCACCCAGCTGTTTTAACAGGTCATTACACAGTTAATTTCCCAGGTCATTACACAGTTCATTACTCAGGTCATTGCACAGGTCATTACTCAATGTGGCTCCTTATCTCACCAGATGCTCTCATCAAACGATCTGCCATAAACACATTTATCACAGCATTTAGTCCTCTGTGTTCCATGAATCATAACCATCATGGTGTCATGATCACCCCACACATTCTCAGTTATTACAACCGCCCATTTTTTATCTATAGACTATTGACTTGACTAGTGACTTGTCTGTCTGCAAAGGCACAGCTGTTTTGAAGATTACAGATGACCCTCAGATGACCCTGTCTGTGAAGGTTCTGTAGTGGTCTGGTCTTGCTCTGGCCTGTGCCAATGGCCAGGGGGAGAGATGGACAGACTGGCAGACAGACGGACAGACAGACAGACTAGCAGACAAATAGACAGACAAACAGACAAACAGACAGACATACTGGCAGACTCTCTGCTATCTGACTGACTGACTCTCTGCTATCTGACTGACTGACTCTCTGATATCTGACTGACTGACTCTGATATCTGACTGACTGACTCTCTGATATCTGACTGACTGACTCTGATATCTGACTGACTGACTCTCTGATATCTGACTGACTGACTCTGATATCTGACTGACTGACTCTCTGATATCTGACTGACTGACTCTCTGATATCTGACTGTCTGACTCTCTGATATCTGACTGTCTGACTCTCTGATATCTGACTGACTGACTCTCTGATATCTGACTGACTGACTCTCTGATATCTGACTGTCTGACTCTCTGATATCTGACTGACTGACTCTCTGATATCTGACTGTCTGACTCTCTGATATCTGATTGTCTGACTCTCTGCTATCTGATTTTCTGACTCTCTGCTATCTGATTGTCTGACTCTCTGATATCTGATTGTCTGACTCTCTGATATCTGAGTGTCTGACTCTCTGATATCTGACTGACTGACTCTCTGATATCTGACTGTCTGACTCTCTGACTGTCTGACTCTCTGATATCTGACTGACTGACTCTCTGATATCTGACTGACTGACTCTGATATCTGACTGACTGACTCTCTGCTATCTGACTGTCTGACTCTCTGCTATCTGACTGACTGACTCTCTGATATCTGACTGACTGACTCTGATATCTGACTGACTGACTCTCTGACTGTCTGACTCTCTGATATCTGACTGACTGACTCTCTGATATCTGACTGTCTGACTCTCTGATATCTGACTGACTGACTCTCTGATATCTGACTGTCTGACTCTCTGCTATCTGACTGACTGACTCTGATATCTGACTGACTGACTCTCTGCTATCTGACTGTCTGACTCTCTGCTATCTGACTGACTGACTCTCTGATATCTGACTGACTGACTCTCTGATATCTGACTGTCTGACTCTCTGATATCTGATTGTCTGACTCTCTGATATCTGACTGACTGACTCTCTGATATCTGACTGTCTGACTCTCTGATATCTGATTGTCTGACTCTCTGATATCTGACTGACTGACTCTGATATCTGACTGACTGACTCTGATATCTGACTGACTCTCTGATATCTGATTGATTGACTCTCTGATATCTGACTGTCTGACTCTCTGATATCTGACTGTCTGACTCTCTGATATCTGACTGACTGACTCTCTGATATCTGACTGATTGACTCTCTGCTATCTGATTTTCTGACTCTCTGCTATCTGATTTTCTGACTCTCTGATATCTGACTGTCTGACTCTCTGATATCTGACTGACTGACTCTCTGATATCTGACTGTCTGACTCTCTGATATCTGACTGTCTGACTCTCTGATATCTGACTGACTGACTCTCTGATATCTGACTGACTGACTCTCTGATATCTGACTGTCTGACTCTCTGATATCTGACTGACTGACTCTCTGATATCTGACTGTCTGACTCTCTGCTATCTGACTGACTGACTCTGATATCTGACTGACTGACTCTCTGCTATCTGACTGTCTGACTCTCTGCTATCTGACTGACTGACTCTCTGATATCTGACTGACTGACTCTCTGATATCTGACTGTCTGACTCTCTGATATCTGATTGTCTGACTCTCTGATATCTGACTGACTGACTCTCTGATATCTGACTGTCTGACTCTCTGATATCTGATTGTCTGACTCTCTGATATCTGACTGACTGACTCTGATATCTGACTGACTGACTCTGATATCTGACTGACTCTCTGATATCTGATTGATTGACTCTCTGATATCTGACTGTCTGACTCTCTGATATCTGACTGTCTGACTCTCTGATATCTGACTGACTGACTCTCTGATATCTGACTGATTGACTCTCTGCTATCTGATTTTCTGACTCTCTGCTATCTGATTTTCTGACTCTCTGATATCTGACTGTCTGACTCTCTGATATCTGACTGACTGACTCTCTGATATCTGACTGTCTGACTCTCTGATATCTGACTGTCTGACTCTCTGATATCTGACTGACTGACTCTCTGATATCTGACTGACTGACTCTCTGATATCTGACTGTCTGACTCTCTGATATCTGACTGACTGACTCTCTGATATCTGACTGTCTGACTCTCTGATATCTGATTGTCTGACTCTCTGCTATCTGATTTTCTGACTCTCTGCTATCTGATTGTCTGACTCTCTGATATCTGATTGTCTGACTCTCTGATATCTGAGTGTCTGACTCTCTGATATCTGACTGACTGACTCTCTGATATCTGACTGTCTGACTCTCTGACTGTCTGACTCTCTGATATCTGACTGACTGACTCTCTGATATCTGACTGACTGACTCTGATATCTGACTGACTGACTCTCTGCTATCTGACTGTCTGACTCTCTGCTATCTGACTGACTGACTCTCTGATATCTGACTGACTGACTCTGATATCTGACTGACTGACTCTCTGACTGTCTGACTCTCTGATATCTGACTGACTGACTCTCTGATATCTGACTGTCTGACTCTCTGATATCTGACTGACTGACTCTCTGATATCTGACTGTCTGACTCTCTGCTATCTGACTGACTGACTCTGATATCTGACTGACTGACTCTCTGCTATCTGACTGTCTGACTCTCTGCTATCTGACTGACTGACTCTCTGATATCTGACTGACTGACTCTCTGATATCTGACTGTCTGACTCTCTGATATCTGATTGTCTGACTCTCTGATATCTGACTGACTGACTCTCTGATATCTGACTGTCTGACTCTCTGATATCTGATTGTCTGACTCTCTGATATCTGACTGACTGACTCTGATATCTGACTGACTGACTCTGATATCTGACTGACTCTCTGATATCTGATTGATTGACTCTCTGATATCTGACTGTCTGACTCTCTGATATCTGACTGTCTGACTCTCTGATATCTGACTGACTGACTCTCTGATATCTGACTGATTGACTCTCTGCTATCTGATTGTCTGACTCTCTGCTATCTGATTTTCTGACTCTCTGATATCTGATTGTCTGACTCTCTGATATCTGATTGTCTGACTCTCTGCTATCTGATTTTCTGACTCTCTGATATCTGACTGTCTGACTCTCTGATATCTGACTGACTAACTCTCTGATATCTGACTGACTGACTCTCTGATATCTGACTGTCTGACTCTCTGATATCTGATTGTCTGACTCTCTGCTATCTGATTTTCTGACTCTCTGCTATCTGATTGTCTGACTCTCTGATATCTGATTGTCTGACTCTCTGATATCTGATTTTCTGACTCTCTGATATCTGACTGTCTGACTCTCTGATATCTGACTGTCTGATTCTCTGCTATCTGACTGTCTGACTCTCTGATATCTGACTGACTGACTCTCTGATATCTGACTGACTGACTCTCTGATATCTGACTGACTGACTCTGATATCTGATTGATTGACTCTCTGCTCTCTGATTTTCTGACTCTCTGATATCTGACTGTCTGACTCTCTGATATCTGATTGTCTGACTCTCTGCTATCTGATTTTCTGACTCTCTGCTATCTGATTGTCTGACTCTCTGATATCTGATTGTCTGACTCTCTGATATCTGATTGTCTGACTCTCTGCTATCTGATTTTCTGACTCTCTGATATCTGACTGCCTGACTCTCTGATATCTGACTGCCTGACTCTCTGATGTCTGACTGACTGACTCTGATATCTGACTGACTGACTCTGTGCTGTCTGCCTGCCTGCCTGCATGACTGAGTGACTGACTGACCCCTGAACCGTGTTTCATCTCCTGCTCTAATTGGTCTGAATCTGTCTGCCGGTGGTCGTGCAACCAATCAGTTAATTCACCCTGCGCCCTCCTGCGCTATGCACAGGAACGCTTCATCTGCATCACTTATTAAAGTATTTTATCACAGATTTGACAAGGTGTGTGTTTTTATCACATTTTTGACAAGGTGTGTGTGTTTTTATCACAGTTTTGACAAGGTGTGTGTGTTTTAGGACGGTGTCCACACTTCATGCCCTGGTGGTGGGGCTCTTTTGCCTCTACATCCTGCTGTTTGACGACGCCGTCAATGAAGACCCTGTCTGGTGAGAACTCTGTCGCTTTGTCGTAGTGCGTGATGGTAGCACGGTGTTGGGTACATACTGTATGAACCGTGTTGTAATGTGTTGAACGTTTTCCGGTCTTTTTCCTGCCAACAGGGGAGATCCCACACTTGTGAAGATAAATGTTGGCATGACAACAGGCTACCTCATATCTGGTGAGAACTCACTGACACACTTTAGTCACACGCACACTTGCAACGCTCCTCGTTCACTACAGGCCATCTTGGACATCTTTAGCCACACTTTCGGCAACGTCGACCATTTTCAGTTTCGTTCTGTTCTTTTGGGCTGTACCAGGAAAATTGTTGTTGTTTGCGTTGCATTTATAAACACAGCTTTTTGTTCACCTGCTGCAATATGTTCTCAGTTAACCCCTGTGTTGCTCTTTTCATTTGTGTTCCAGATCTGCTGTTAATATTTTACTATTGGAAGGCGATAGGTGACAAGTTTTTTGTCATTCACCACCTTGCAGCGCTGTATGCTTACTACTATGTACTGGTGAGTTCCCCACTGTCTAATAGCAGAATGAGCAGGTGGTCCTCTGTAGCTCAACTGGTAGAGCACGGCGCTTGTAACGCCAAGGTAGTGGGTTCGATCCCCGGGACCACCCATACACAAAAAATGTATGCACGCATGACTGTAAGTCGCTTTGGATAAAAGCGTCTGCTAAATGGCATATTATATTATTATTATATTATGGGAAAGATACAGCTAAAGGTGAACAGCTGTGTGTTGGTGATGGCAGGAGCAGGGAGGGTGAGTGAGTGTCATGCTGTGCGATGGTGATGGCAGGAGCAGGGAGGGTGAATGAGTGCTAACAAGCTAACATAGCTTTGCTCCTGTTAGCTCCGCTAGAACTCTGCCTGTGAGAACATGTGACGTTAACCCTGCTGGCACTAATTTCACATGTTCTTCTAATGCCTCTCATTAGCTAGTCCTCAGCTGTTGAAAAGACAAGCAGGAAATCAGTTAGAATTGTATGAGGCCATACTCTACTGTAGGCTTGGTTTTAGGAGACTGTGTTCAGTTGCACACGCAGAAGCAGGACTCCTGACTCCTCATCAGATTAGATGTTGTGTTGTCAAGCTTTTGGGAGTTGCTTGTTGATTGTCTCTAGTGTGAAAAAGGTTATGGTTAATGATACAATAATTATGTGTTATTTTGTGGTTAGGATGATCGTTAGCGACAGTTTGGATTGAAAGAACATTGATAGATTTGATATCGTTGAGTTTCAGCTATGACCATGCTTCATCAGCACTGTCTTGTCAAGCAACTTGTCTTGTTTGACTGGACAGTGACACAGAAGCTGGTTATAACCACTATAACCACTGTTTATAATGCTGAAACAGGTTGTAAGCTGGTTATAACCACTATAACCACTGGTTATAGTGCTGAAACAGGTTGTAAGCTGGTTATAACCACTATAACCACTGGTTATAATGCTGGAACAGGTTGTAAGCTGGTTATAACCACTGTAACCACTGGTTATAAAGCTGGAACAGGTTGTAAGCCCAGTCATCCAGGACACTGCTGTTCACCCTTGGTCTGTAGTCTTCCAGGTCACCTGGTTCTATAGCTCATGATTATGGCTATGATGACAGTGTTGGTATTTTTCTGCATGGAATGCTCAGTGATGGAAGTGAAGTGGCCGACACCCTCCTTACCCTTCCTTTCCTCATCACCTTCCCATTAAAAGACCTGCTTTTCTTTCACTGCCCCCTCGGGCTTGTTGGGCTGAGCTGCGCATGCCTCCATTTCTCCTGACTTCCCCAGTGTTTGTGGAGGGGGTCTCCAACAGTACTGTGTGTGCATGCCAAAAACAGCTTACTTACTACCTCCTACTGTTCTGTCTCCTTCCTCTCCCACTCTCCACCTCTGCCCCACTATTTCCAGAGCTTCTTCTCCCTTGTCTGTTCTGGCAGAGGGCCCTTGAGAGCGACTGAACTGTTAATGATGACACTTTGCCGTGTGTGATGCTTGAATGCGTCATTCGTCTATGAATGTGTGCTCACTATAATGCCCCACGGTAGCTCTGTGAGGGCTTTCCTTCTAGCTCTGTGAGGGCTTTCCTTCGAGCTCTGTGAGGGCTTTCCTTCTAGCTCTGTGAGGGTTTGCCTTCTAGCTCTGTGAGGGTTTGCCTTCTAGCTCTGTAAGGGCTTGCCTTCTAGCTCTGTGAGGGCTTTCCTTCTAGCTCTGTGAGGGCTTGCCTTCTAGCTCTGTAAGGGCTTGCCTTCTAGCTCTGTGAGGGCTTTCCTTCTAGCTCTGTGAGGGCTTGCCTTCTAGCTCTGTGAGGGCTTGCCTTCTAGCTCTGTGAGGGCTTGCCTTCTAGCTCTGTGAGGGCTTTCCTTCTAGCTCTGTGAAGGCTTGCCTTCTAGCTCTGTGAGGGCTTGCCTTCTAGCTCTGTGAGGGCTTGCCTTCTAGCTCTGTGAGGGCTTTCCTTCTAGCTCTGTGAGGGCTTGCCTTCTAGCTCTGTGAGGGTTTGCCTTCTAGCTCTGTGAGGGTTTGCCTTCTAGCTCTGTGAGGGCTTGCCTTCTAGCTCTGTGAGGGCTTGCCTTCTAGCTCTGTGAGGGTTTGCCTTCTAGCTCTGTGAGGGCTTGCCTTCTAGCTCTGTGAGGGTTTGCCTTCTAGCTCTGTGAGGGTTTGCCTTCTAGCTCTGTGAGGGCTTTCCTTCTAGCTCTGTGAGGGCTTTCCTTCTAGCTCTGTGAGGGCTTTCCTTCTAGCTCTGTGAGGGCTTTGCCTTCTAGCTCTGTGAGGGTTTGCCTTCTAGCTCTGTGAGGGTTTGCCTTCTAGCTCTGTGAGGGCTTTCCTTCTAGCTCTGTGAGGGCTTTCCTTCTAGCTCTGTGAGGGCTTTCCTTCTGTTTTAAGAAAGGCAAAGAAAAGGCCTTGGTTCAGGCCAACCCAAATCCTTCAACCTTTTTACAATAATTATCCCTTAGCATTGTATGCAAATTGTATTCTTACCCAACTGAATTAAATTAAGACACTTGAAGCAAAGTAATGTACAGTATATGCATTGTAAAAATGACCCTATCGGAGGTGCAATGCATTCCTGATGTAAATGTTTTTTTTTTTTTTAACCTTTCTTCCTAGAGACAGAAAGTCCATTATGTTAAAGCAGCAGAGCAAAATGGATGCTGTTGTTGAAAACTGCAATAAGCACACTACTTCTACTACTTAAGATAATTGACCGTGTGGTTAAATTGTCTTGCTGCTACAACTGATTGGTGATCATAAGAACAGATGACACAGTGGTTTAAGGCCGTACTCTCACTGGACATTCATGACTGTGCTTAGTATGGTCAACAGAAAGCACTCTGTCAACATAAAGCCCTCGTTCGCTAACATCTGACTTCATTCATAACTTACTAATTGATTGACTTACTTTTTTTTTTGTGTGATTTGGTATCAAAGCTGGTATATGTGAGTATGTTGTTAATTCGGTGACTAGGCATAGTATTAGTTAAACCAGCTGGTATATGCAGATTGTGTTATGTTGTTATGATGTCATACTAGATCATTGGGAAAACAATCAGGCTATACTCAGAACTTGTGGTTCGGATAGCTAGCTAAACAAGCAGATGAATTCATAGGCTAATATTTGATTGCTGTTTGAGTTCTAAAACTCGTGCTAAACTGTCAACGTTGTTGTTGCACCTTTTTTCTTGTTGTTGTTGCTTCTAACTATAGCTGCACCTTTTTTCCCCCTAATCTATCTGTCTATCTTATCCTTCGCTAATATGATTTCTTAAAATAATATAATATATAATAATAATATAGTCCCACAATTACCAGCAAAACATTCAAGCAAAAAAACTACCAAAATTCCAAATTCAAACCTTTCAGACCAGGCCTGACTCCTCTGGACTGAATCATTCCTGTCTCGTCTGTTGCCATTGCTGTTGCGCTACACTGAGCAGATCTGACCCATCTGTCCAGTAACAGTATAGACTTACCAGTATCTAGAGGTGTTCGCATAGAGACGCTGGGAAAGTTCATATCCTCTCGGGTGTAGACGAAGCAGATATGTTCTGTCCTGTATGTCCATATCTTGAGAGTGAGTACATGCCATTTATTAACTTTTGTTATGAGGTAAGTTTCCCCTTTTGGTGTGTGCTATTTGGATAATCTTACCCTGTGTTATGCCTGAAAAAAATGAGAGAGAGAGAGAGAGAGAGAGAGAGAGAGAGAGGAGAGAGAGAGAGAGATGAGAGAGAGAGAGAGAGAGAGAGAGAGAGAGAGATAGAGATAGAGAGGAATAGAGAGAGAGAAGAGAGAGGACGCGCTCTCTATCGCATAGAGATCGCTCTCTCTTCTCTCCTCTCTCCTCTCTCTCTCCCTCTCCTCTCTCTCTCTCTCTATCTAGAGAGAGAGAGAGAGAGAGAAGAGAGAGAACTTCTCATGTGAGGCTCTTTATAATTACTCTTGCCTATATGTCTTATGCAGTACCTTCCTATAACAGCATTTGAATATACGCTAAGCATGGCTCTTATACGGTGCATTCGGAAACTATTCAGACCCCATGACTTTTTCCACATTTTGTTACGTTACAGCCTTATTCCCTAAAATGGATTAAATAAATAAAAATCCCCATCAATCTACACACAACACCCCATAATGACAAAGCAAAAACAGGTGTTTAGACATTTTTGCAAATTGATTTAAAAAAAAAACCCGGAAATATAACATTTACATAAGTATTCAGACCCTTTACTCAGTACTTTGTTCAAACACATTTGGCAGCTATTACAGCCTCGTATCTTAATAATAATAATAATAATAATAATATGCCATTTAGCAGACGCTTTTATCCAAAGCGACTTACAGTCATGCGTGCATACATTTTTACATATCTTCTTGGGTAAGACACTACAAGCTTAGCACACCTGTATTTGGGGAGTTTCTCCTATTCTTCTCTGCAGATCCTCTTAAGCTCTGTCGGGTTGGATGGGGAGCGTTGCTGCACAGCTATTTTCAGGCCTCTCCAGAGATGTTTGATCGGGTTCAAGTCAGGGCTCTGGTTGGGCCACTCAAGGACATTCAGAGACTTGTCCCGAAGCCACTCCTGCATTGTCTTGGCTGTGTGCTTAGGGTTGTTGTTCTGTTGGAAGGTGAACCTTCGCCCCAGTCTGAGGTCCCGAGCGCTCTGGAGCAGGTTTTCATCAAGGATCTCTCTGTACTTTGTTCCGTTCATCTTTCCCTCGATCCTGACTAGTCTCCCAGTCCCTGCCGCTGAAAAACATCCCCACAGCATGATGCTGCCACCACCATGCTTCACCGTAGGGATGGTGCCAGGTTTCCTCCAGACGTGACGCTTGGCATTAAGACGAAAAAGTTCAATCTTGGTTTCATCAGACTAGAGAATCTTGTTTCTCATGGTCTGAGAGTCTTTAGGTGCCTTTTGGCAAACTCCAAGTGGGCTGTCATGTGCCTTTTACTGAGGAGTGTCTTCCGTCTGGCCACTCTACCATAAAGGTCTGATTGGTAGAATGATGCAGAGAAGGTTGTCCTTCTGGAAGGTTCTCCCATCTCCACAGAGGAACTCTGGAGCTCTGTCAGAGTGACCATCAGGTTCTTGGTCACCTCCCTAACCAAGGCCCTTCTCCCCCGATTGCTCAGTTTGGCCGGGTGGCCAGCTCTAGGAAGAGTCTTGGTGATTCCAAACTTCTTCCATTTCAGAATGATGGAGGCCACTGTGTTCTTGGGGACCTTTAATGCTGCAGAAATGTGTTGGTACCCTTCCCCAGATCTGTGCCTTGACCCAATCCTGTCTCGGAGCTCTACGGAGAATTCCTTCGACCTCATGACTTGTTTTTTGCTCTGACATGCTGTCAACTGTGTGACCTTATATAGACAGGTGTGTGCCTTTCCAAATCATGTCCAATCAATTGAATTGACCACAGGTGGACTCCAATCAAGTTGTAGAAACATCTCAAGGATGATCAATGGAAAAAGGATGCACCTGAGCTCAATTTAGAGTCTCATAGCAAAGGGTCTGAATACTTATGTAAATAAGGTATTTCTGTTTTTTGTTTTTTATAAATTTGCAAAAATGTCTAAACCTGTTTTCGCTTTGTCATTATGGGGTATTTGTGTGTAGATTGATGAGGGGGAAAAATACTATTTAATCCATCTTAGAATAAGGCAGCAACGTAACAAAAATGTGGAAAAAGTCAAGGGGTCTGAATACTTTCCGAATGCACTGTATTGGCAAATCATTGCTCATTTGGCTAACGGCTGAATGTCTACTCATTAAACCCTGGCTGTACGTGCACACTGTGTTGTTAGCAGTGGCGCTATCCTATTTACTTTTTGTATTGTAATTTAGCTGTTTCACCGCCGACAGCCTTTTCAACTTCCCGTGGTCTTTCGGTACTGAAGCCTCATAGCTGTAGTCGAGGCTGTCATCCTCAACTATACCCTCAATCATACGAATGGGTTTATTAGGGTCTACTGGAGAAAAGCCTTCAGAATGTAGCTGATTCTCCTGAGGGATGGGGCTTTTCTGTTTGATCTGAAAAATAGGAAGCAGAGCCGACCTATATTCAGAAAGGGATTTCAATTATTTAATTTTAGATCTGAAAATGTCTCCTTAATCTCAGTTTTGGTTCAGCACGATGATGTCTGATAGATCAAAAGGTATTTTCACCATTTTAATTCCAGGTACAGTATATAATACTACGTCTGTTTAATTTTTTTCCTGCTTGTTATTGCTGTTGGAAAATACATTTATTTTTGTATCTGAATATTGAGTGATCATGAAATTGATGTTGATGGGCTAAAAGGTGAAGTATGGTAAAAGTGAGATAATTAACTTGTTTCCCCCCCCCCAAAAAAAGTAATAATTATCACACGCCTTGTGTTCTTTTAATATTGACGATGGATTAATATTTCTGGGCACAAACGGGTGTGATTACCTCACTTTAACCATACTGATGTGATGTTTGATCAAATGAAAGCATTTTGGGTCCCTTTTTCATTGTTTCTCTCTCCGTTTTCTTCTTTTCACCTTGTTCCTCCAGAGACAAGGAATGTTGCCTTATTTTGCTAACTTCCGTCTGCTTGCCGAGTTCTCCACGCCGTGTGTGAACCAGCGGTAGGTAGCAGATGCACTGTATACAAACACATGTAATATGTTTATGGTAGGTACCACCCACACTGAGGCCTGAGCCTGGACAGGGCAGTGACACTCAGAGACCCTGCAAAGCAGCTGCTGAAAGAAATAAACCCTGTTAACCCTCATACTGCCAACATATTTTATATACATTAATTACCAACTGGGGTCATTTTGACCCCAAGAAGAAACTATTGGAAAAAGCAACACTCCTAGCAAACTATCAACTTAATTCTTATCAAAACATCAATAAAAATGTAAATAATGTTCTGAAATAAAAAGTAACCAAACAGACTGTTCTTTTACCAAAATTACAGTTCATTAGCATATTCTGTAAAAACGAAAATGTACATTTTTCCCTTAACCAATGTGTAGCTTTTTTTTTCCAAAGTACAATCCACATAAGTACAAAAAACACAGATGTTCCGTTATTTGATTGTAGTACCATTTACATTTTTTTTGAATTTTGAAAATAATTACAAATGTTGTCATATTTATGCAGTAAAAACAACTGCCATTTAAAGGGGCGGGACACCAACATTTGAAATATACTTAATTTTATTAACAAAAAAGTAATTTGTCAATTCATCTTGAGAGACAATGTCCAACAATATGGCTTAGTTTTATTTATTTACTTACCCCAAAGCCAGTATTATCATCGCTGCTAGTGAAACAATGGGAGTGGTAGGGCCTATGGCAGGATGCTTAAAAAAGCCTCAATCCTAATTTCAAACCAAATGCTATAGCAACCCAAATATCCTAACAAGTTGCACATATAGAATATTGGAGGATATTGTAGGAATTCTGGTATTTATATAACATTTCCCGTAAAATAAAAAATGTTCAGAGAATACACACCAATACAGCACTATGTGTCCATTCAGAGGGTAGCTGTATACCACTGAATGACTTTTACAGTGGCTTGCGAAAGTATTCACCCCCCTTGGCATTTTTCCTATTTTGTTGCCTTACAACTTGGAATTAAAATAGATTTTTGGGGGGTTTGTATCATTTGATTTAGACAACATGCCTACCACTTTGAAGATGCAAAATATTGTTTGTGTGTGAAGCAAACAAGAAATAAGACAAAAAAACAGAACTTGAGCGTGCATAACTATTCACCCCCCCCAAAGTCAATAATTTGTAGATCCACCTTTTGCAGCAATTACAGCTGCAAGTCTCTTGGGGTATGTCTCTATAAGCTTGGCACATCTAGCCACTGGGATTTTTGCCCATTCTTCAAGGCAAAACTGCTCCAGCTCCTTCAAGTTGGATGGGTTCCGCTGGTGTACAGCAATCTTTAAGTCATACCACAGATTCTCAATTAGATTGAGGTCTGGGCTTTTCAAGACATTTAAATGTTTCCCCTTAAACCACTCAAGTGTTGCTTTAGCAGTATGCTTAGGGTCATTGTCTGTTGGAAGGTGAACCTCCGTCCCAGTCTCAAATCTCTGGAAGACTGAAACAGGTTTCCCTCAAGAATTTCCCTTTATTAGCGCCATCCATCATTCCTTCAATTCTGACCAGTTTCCCAGTCCCTGCCGATGAAAAACATCCCCACAGCATGATGCTGCCACCACCATGCTTCACCTTGGGGATGGTGTTCTCGGGGTGATGAGAGGTGTTGGGTTTACGCCAGACATAGCGTTTTCCTTGATGGCCAAAAAGCTCAATTTTAGTCTCATCTGACCAGAGTACCTTCTTCCATATGTTTGGGGAGTCTCCCACATAGCTTTTGGCGAACACCAAACGTGTTTGCTTATTTTTTCTTTAAGCAATGGCTTTTTTCTGGCCACTCCTCCTTGGTCTTCATGGTGCCGCTTGCTTGGTGGTGGCCCTTGCTTAGTGTTGTTGCAGACTCTGGGGTCTTTCAGAACAGGTGTACATATACTGAGATCATGTGACACTTAGATTGCATACAGGTGGACTTTATTTAACTAATTATGTGACTTCTGAAGGTAATTGGTTGCACCAGATCTTATTTAGGGGCTTCATAGCAAAGGAGGTGAATACATATGCACGCACCACTTTTCCGTTATTACTTTTTTATAATTTTTTGAAACAAGTTATTTTCTTCATTTCACTTCACCAATTTGGACTATTTTGTGTATGTCCATTACATGAAATCTAAATTAAAAAACATTTAAATTACAGGTTGTAATGCAACAAAATAGGAAAAACGCCAAGGGGGATGAATACTTTTGCAAGGCACTGTATGAGCTGTTTTGACTGCAACTAAGCATATATGTAAGGTCATTTTAGATTTTGTACACGGTCACACCTAGTGATAACCAGGTATAACCATAGACGAGTGCATAAGGTGATCCATCTCTGCAGGTGGTCTGTCTATCATGTCAGGATCACTGATAAAGGTATAACACAGAGAAAACTGGATTCAAATAGACTTTTTTAGATTTGCCCTAGAATAACTACTTTCGCTGGAATACACACCACGACAGCTGTGTAGATTTACAGCGTATCTGAGTGATGTTTTGCAGTTCTATCAAGTATTTATACCATTGGCAGACTGTATTCCATTGGCAGACTGTATTCCATTGGCAGACTGTATTCCATTGGCAGACTGTATACCATTGGCAGACTGTATTCCATTGGCAGATTTTTATATGTACATAAATACGGTAATTTTGGTTTTGTACACAGTCATACGATATGTGGTATAGAAAAGTACATGGGGTCCTGCTATATCTCTGTAGATAATCTGTTTTATCTGGTCAGAATCACTGATACAGGTCCTGCTATATCTCTGTAGATAATCTGTTTTATCTGGTCAGAATCACTGATACAGGTCCTGCTATATCTCTGGTGGTATGGATAATTTGTTATTATGTCTCCAGGGAAAACTGGATTCAAATAAAGGTTCACATCTATCAAATAATTATATGCGGAATTAGGTGTTTTTGGCTGGGGTCAACATGACCCCAAAAGTCCATATTGATACAGAAACACTAAACAATGATTTTGATTTATTATGAACAAGTTGATTGACAAAGTCATTAACAATTGGAAGAATTTAATAAACCACCTTTGGGCTATGATAAAAAAATATGCCTCTGGTGTCAAAATGAGGCATGTATGATGGTTGATTTGTTTAATTCCCATACACCCGTGTTTACGATTTTTATATATTGATTTTACTGGACATTCTCTATGTTCACGTGTGAAAGATTACCCTTCATCTTGTTTGAATCCTGTTCGGCCCAGAGTCGGGTTGCTCCTCCTTTACATCACTGTACTGACTGTCTTTCTTTACAACACTGTACTGGCTGTCTTTCTTTACATCACTGTACTGACTGTGTCTTTCTTTACATCACTGTACTGACTGTCTTTCTTTACATCACTGTACTGACTGTCTTTCTTTACATCACTGTACTGACTGTCTTTCTTTACATCATTGTACTGACTGTCGTTCTTTACATCACTGTACTGACTGTCTTTCTTTACATCACTGTACTGACTGTCTTTCTTTACATCACTGTACTGACTGTGTCTTTCTTTACATCACTGTACTGACTGTGTCTTTCTTTACATCACTGTACTGACTGTCTTTCTTTACATCACTGTATTGACTGTCTTTCTTTACATCACTGTACTGACTGTATTTCCTTACATCACTGTACTGACTGTGTCTTTCTTTACATCACTGTACTGGCTGTCTTTCTTTACATCACTGTACTGACTGTCTTTCTTTACATCACTGTACTGACTGTCTTTCTTTACATCACTGTACTGACTGTCTTTCTTTACATCACTGTATTGACTGTCTTTCTTTACATCACTGTACTGACTGTATTTCCTTACATCACTGTACTGACTGTGTCTTTCTTTACATCACTGTACTGACTGTGTCTTTCTTTACATCACTGTACTGGCTGTCTTTCTTTACATCACTGTACTGACTGTGTCTTTCTTTACATCACTGTACTGACTGTCTTTCTTTACATCACTGTACTGACTGTCTTTCTTTACATCACTGTACTGACTGTCTTTCTTTACATCACTGTACTGACTGTGTCTTTCTTTACATCACTGTACTGACTGTGTCTTTCTTTACATCACTGACTGTGTCTTTCTTTACATCACTGTACTGACTGTCTTTCTTTACATCACTGTATTGGCTGTCTTTCTTTACATCACTGTACTGACTGTATTTCCTTACATCACTGTACTGACTGTGTCTTTCTTTACATCACTGTACTGACTGTGTCTTTCTTTACATCACTGTACTGACTGTCTTTCTTTACATCACTGTACTGACTGTCTTTCTTTACATTGTTGTACTGACTGTGTCTTTCTTTACATCACTGTACTGACTGTGTCTTTCTTTACAGCACTGTACTGACTGTGTCTTTCTTTACATCACTGTACTGACTGACTTTCTTTACATCACTGTACTGACTGTCTTTCCTTACATCACTGTACTGACTGTGTCTTTCTTTACATCACTGTACTGACTGTCTTTCTTTACATCACTGTACTGACTGTCTTTCTTTACATCACTGTACTGACTGTGTCTTTCTTTACATCACTGTACTGACTGTCTTTCTTTACATCACTGTACTGACTGTCTTTCTTTACATCACTGTATTGACTGTCTTTCTTTACATCACTGTACTGACTGTATTTCCTTACATCACTGTACTGACTGTGTCTTTCTTTACATCACTGTACTGACTGTGTCTTTCTTTACATCACTGTACTGACTGTCTTTCTTTACATTGTTGTACTGACTGTGTCTTTCTTTACATCACTGTACTGACTGTGTCTTTCTTTACAGCACTGTACTGACTGTGTCTTTCTTTACATCACTGTACTGACTGACTTTCTTTACATTGTTGTACTGTCTGTGTATTTTTTTACATCACTGTACTGACTGTCTTTCCTTACAACACTGTACTGACTGTCTTTTCTTTACATCACTGTACTAACTGTGTCTTTCTTTACATCACTGTACTGACTGTCTTTCTTTACATTGTTGTACTGTCTGTGTCTTTCTTTACATCACTGTACTGACTGTGTCTTTCTTTACATCGTTGTACTGACTGTCTTTACATTGTTGTACTGACTGTCTTTTTAACATCACTGTACTGACTGTGTCTTTCTTTACATCACTGTACTGACTGTCTTTCTTTACATTGTTGTACTGACTGTCTTTTTTACACCACTGTACTGACTGTGTCTTTCTTTACATCACTGTACTGACTGTGTATTTCTTTACATCACTGTACTGACTGTCTTTCTTTACATAACTGTACTGACTGTCTTTCCTTACATCACTGTACTGACTGTGTCTTTCTTTACATCACTGTACTGACTGTCTTTCTTTACATCACTGTACTGACTGTGTCTTTCTTTACATTGTTGTACTGTCTGTGTATTTTTTTACATCACTGTACTGACTGTCTTTCCTTACAACACTGTACTGACTGTCTTTTCTTTACATCACTGTACTAACTGTGTCTTTCTTTACATCACTGTACTGACTGTCTTTCTTTACATTGTTGTACTGTCTGTGTCTTTCTTTACATCACTGTACTGACTGTGTCTTTCTTTACATCGTTGTACTGACTGTCTTTACATTGTTGTACTGACTGTCTTTTTACATCACTGTACTGACTGTGTCTTTCTTTACATCACTGTACTGACTGTCTTTCTTTACATTGTTGTACTGACTGTCTTTTTTACACCACTGTACTGACTGTGTCTTTCTTTACATCACTGTACTGACTGTGTCTTTCTTTACATCACTGTACTGACTGTCTTTTCTTTACATCACTGTACTGACTGTCTTTCTTTACATCACTGTACTGACTGTGTCTTTCTTTACATCACTGTACTGACTGTATTTCTTTACATCACTGTACCAGCTGTGTCTTTCTTTACATTGTTGTACTGACTGTGTCTTTCTTTACATCACTGTACTGGCTGTGTATTTCTTTACATCACTGTACTGACTGTGTCTTTCTTTACATCACTGTACTGACTGTGTCTTTCTTTATATCACTGTACTGACTGTGTCGTTCTTTACATCACTGTACTGACTGTGTCTTTCTTTACATCACTGTACTGACTGTGTCATTCTTTACATCACTGTACTGACTGTGTCTTTCTTTACATCACTGTACTGACTGTGTCGTTCTTTACATCACTGTACTGACTGTGTCGTTCTTTACATCACTGTACTGACTGTGTCGTTCTTTACATCACTGATGACTGGGTCGTTCTTTACATCACTGTACTGACTGTGTCTTTCTTTACATCACTGTACTGACTGTCTTTCTTTACATCACTGTACTGACTGTGTCTTTCTTTACATCACTGTACTGACTGTGTCTTTCTTTACATCACTGTACTGACTGTCGTTCTTTACATCACTGTACTGACTGTCTTTCTTTACATCACTGTACTGACTGTGTCTTTCTTTACATCACTGTACTGACTGTGTCTTTCTTTACATCACTGTACTGACTGTCTTTCTTTACATCACTGTACTGACTGTCTTTCTTTACATCACTGTACTGACTGTGTCTTTCTTTACATCACTGTACTGACTGTGTCTTTCTTTACATCACTGTACTGACTGTCTTTCTTTACATCACTGTACTGACTGTCTTTCTTTACATCACTGTACTGACTGTCTTTCTTTACATCACTGTACTGACTGTCGTTCTTTACATCACTGTACTGACTGTCTTTCTTTACATCACTGTACTGACTGTCTTTCTTTACATCACTGTACTGACTGGGTCTTTCTTCCAGGTGGTTCTTTGAAGTGTTAGGTTACCCCAAGTCCTCCAGGCCCAACATTGCTAACGGGATGGCTATGGCCCTGGTCTTCTTCCTGGTTCGCATCGCCGTCATGCCTCTCTACTACAGCCGCATGTGGTCCGTGTACGGCACCGAAGCCTTCTACCGCGTCCCGCTGGAAGGCCGCGCTGCCTGGATCATCTCCAGCGTCTCGCTGGATGTCATGAACGTCATGTGGATGCACAAGATCGCCCGCGGCTGCTACAAGGTTATGTGCTCGGCCCGACGGCACAAAGTGGAGACACAAGAGAATGGAAAGACTGACTAAGAAGCAAGAGGATGGTTGATGTAATGGGTAGGGGGAACCCATTGAACCACTCTCCTCTTTTTTGTGCACAATTTGATTAGTACCTGACTGGGACTGTTTCAGGGTCAATTAACTCACACCAAATGCCAAGTTTCGCACTGACTGAATTTTATGGTGGTGGACGCAGGACATTTCTAGTTTCCCTTTTGAGATTGGAGCATTGAGCTGGATGTAGGCAAAGAGAGAATAACTGGGGCGGTGGTTGGTGAAACTGTTAGCAACACTTTCTGTGCATGGCCAATTATTTTTCTCTGTGTTTTATCACAAAACAGCATGTCTGGGATGACGTATCAGTTTTTCACCAAGTCAAACGTTTACTGCTTGTTCCAGACTATAGACTCAATGTGTGATGCTCATGTGCTCCCCAAGGTAAACTGAAGCCCCTCACTTCATTTTGCTCTTTTTGATATTCTGGTTGTCTGAATCCCAGAGGTTATGTATTTACATTTTGAGGAATTCTTTATTGTGCAAATGGGTGAGTACAAATAAAATTTCAGTTTTTTTTAAACTGTTTTTTTGGGACCCAACCAACCCAAATAACCCAACCAACCCAACCAACCCAAATAACCCATGCAGGAAATGTTTTAGTAATGGTCCGTGTCATTAACAAGCTGCTGTCTGCTGAGGCAGGGCAGGGTGTAGCATCTTTCTCTTTAAACCCAAACTGACTGTCTGTCAGAAGACTGGATGAACATCTAGTGCAGAGGAGTGAGTTCAGCTGAAAGACACCTCTCAGGGAGACACTCTGATACAGAGACAGACCCCTGGTTCAAAGAGGACAGACCCCTGGCTCAAAGAAGAGAGACCCCTGGTTCAAAGAGGACAGACCCCTGGTTCAAAGAAGAGAGACCCCTGGTTCAACGAAGACAGATCCCTGGTTCAAAGAAGACAGACAGACCCCTGGTTCAAAGAAGACAGACCCCTGGTTCAAAGAGGACAGACCCCTGGTTCAAAGAAGACAGACCCCTAGTTCAAAGAGGACAGACCCCTGGTTCAAAGAGGACAGACCCCTGGTTCAAAGAGTATAGACCCCTGGTTCAAAGAGGACAGACCCCTGGTTCAAAGAAGACAGACCCCTGGTTCAACGAAGACAGACCCCTGGTTCAAAGACGATAGACAGACCCCTGGTTCAAAGACGACAGACAGACTCCTGGTTCAAAGACGACTAACAGACCCCTGGTTCAAAGAGGACAGACCCCTGGTTCAAAGAGGACAGACCCATGGTTCAAAGAGGACATGCCCCTGGTTCAAAGAGGACAGGCCCCTGGTTCAATGAGGACAGACCCCTGGTTCAAAGAAGACAAACCCCTGGTTCAAAGAGGACAGACCCCTGGTTCAAATGGATTAAGGCCTCCTATGGGCCACTCACTCTCTGGGAAAAGTTAAAGTAGGGAAAAAGGGAACGTTAAAGAAGAAATGCATGAATCGATTCCTTACATTTGTCCAGCCGGGTTAGATTTAGGAGGATTTTGATTCTAAATTAATTTTGATATTTTTTGTTTTAATCAAAAATGGGACTGTGCTGATTGTGCGATAGGATATGTCATGCTACTTGCTTGTCTGACAAAAAGGATGTTGAAAGGGAACTTTGAGAATGTGTTAGTTGAAGCGATAGGGAAACGCATCGTGAGAGGTGTCAGCTGGATTCTAACATTCCTCTCAGATTTTATTTACTCTGACGATATAAGAAATGTGAGCTTTTTGTCCTCAACATTTAAATAATTAATTAGAGTTTAAATACCATAATCACATAACATGTACAGTGAGGGAAAAAAGTATTTGATCCCCTGCTGATTTTGTATGTTTGCCCGCTGACAAATAAATGATTAGTCTATACATTTTAATGGTAGGTTTATTTGAACAGTGAGAGACAGAATAACAACAAAAAAATCAAGAAAAACACATGTCAAAAATGTTATAAATTGATTTGTTATTCTGTCTCTCACTGTTCAAATAAACCTACCATTAAAATTATAGACTGATAATTTCTTTGTCAGTGGGCAAACGTAAAAATCAGCAGGGGATCAAATACCTTTTTCCCCCCCTCACTGTATGGAGACAATTAGTTTTTCTCTTTCTACTCTTTCTCTTTCTTCTCTTTCTACTCTACAGACATACTGTCAATACCAACGTATATGTACAGTCAACTGGTGCATGCTGGAATTAATTGTTATGTACCGGGTATCAGATCAATATGGAACTTGAGGTTACGCCCTTTTTTGGACAAGGGGCCATTGAGACAATGTGATTGGATGAGTATGTTCCCTCTGAGCTCGACCCAATGGCTACTAACACTCACCTTGTTCTAAGATCTTGGTGTAAGGAACTTCTTCTGAACTGCATTAAATGTTATTTATTATTACCAGTTATGTACTGGAGTAACACTTCAATGTTTGTACTTATATACACTGAGTATACCAAACATTAGGGGCACCTTCCTAATATTTAGTTGCACCCCCTTTTGCCCTCAGAACAGCCTCAATTCGTCGGGGCACGGACTCAACAATGTGTCGAAAGTGTTCCACGGGGATGCTGGCCCATGTTGATGGCCAGTGCTTCCCAAAGTTGTGCCAAGTTGGCTGGATGGTGGACCATTCTTGTTACGCATGGGAAACTGTTGAGCGTGAAAAACCCAGCAGCGTTGCAGTTCTTGACTCAATCCGGTGTGCCTGGCACCTACTACCATACCCTGTTCAAAGGCACTTAAATATTTTGTCTTGCCCATTCACCCTCTGAATGGCACACATACACAATCCATGTTTCAATTGTCTCGAGGCTTAACAATCCTTCTTTAACCTGTCTCCTCCCCTTCATCTACACTGATTGAAGGGGATTTAAGTGACATCAATAAGGGATCATAGCTTTTACCTGTCATAGTAGGGGCAGGTGTTCCTAATGTTTTGTCCACTCGGTGCATTTTTTTATTTAAGGAGATGTATAATTTATATGGCAAAAGAGGTATTCATGATTTATCTTTAGTAGATTTATGAGGAAAAGTTGTCATGATACTAGTAACATACATTTATAATAAATGTATAATATGCCTGCCTTTCGTTTAAAGTGCACAAACACACATTCAAGACTAGTACTTGTAGAGTCTTAAGAAAAGAAGGTGTGTCATACTACATTTGCAAACTGTAAACTGAAAGCAATTTTATTGCAAGCTGTATTTTTGTTTCTTTTTTAAAATCCTGGATATGTACATGATGATTAACCCCATGAGTATTCTTTGGTAGGCCTACTTGTTCATTATGGAATCCAGTGATGATGATGATGATGATGATGATGATGATGATGAACATGTGAAAACAAAAAATGTGGCTAACACCCAGCACAGAAATATCCAATTAGGAAAATTATACTTGAATATTATACGAATCGGCACAGTTGCAACATGGGCAGTACAAACAAACATGAACACCTTACGTTTTGCATTTCATTATAATTCTCTATAGCTTCGTCAAGTAAACCAGAAAGTACACTGGTGATGTTACAACATAGGCTTTCAGTCCTCTCATTCTGCAAGTGTTCGGTGAATGAATGAGGGGGGATACACAGGCTAAGATGGTTCAGTGAAGTGAGCCCTGAATTTTATGAATGTATTCATGTTGTTCAAAAAACATTGGCTGCTGGCCATTGTTGACTTTTTGTTGGTGATCTTTTACAGTACATGTAAAATCTGTGAAGATATGTGTTCCTTTTTATGATTTAATTTTTTTTGTTTTTATTAAAATGAGGAGGGTATGGGGTCCAATGTTGACCCATAATGAGGAGGATATTGGGTCCAATGTTGACCCATAATGAGGAGGATATTGGGTCCAATGTTGATCCATAATGAGGAGGATATTGGGTCCAATGTTGACCCCTAATGAGGAGGATATTGGGTCCAATGTTGACCCATAATGAGGAGGATATTGGGTCCAATGTTGATCCATAATGAGGAGGATATTGGGTCCAATGTTGACCCATAATGAGGAGGATATTGGGTCGAATGTTGACCCATAATGAGGAGGATATTGGGTCCAATGTTGACCCCTAATGAGGAGGATATTGGGTCCAATGTTGACCCATAATGAGGAGGATATTGGGTCCAATGTTCACCCAAAGATAAAAATATACTATAAAACATTCAGCAGCAACCCTTGACCTGTTTGAAGAAAGGGAAAGTTTAGCCCACATGTTGGCCAGAAAATTAGCACTTTTTAAATGTCTAATTGAATGAACACTTGTTTGTCTTAATTTTACACACCTGATGCCATTTGTCTGGGTAAAGCAATAGGAATAATTTTAAGTGTCAATAAAGGTTCAGAATCAAACAGTTTGCTTACTGTCTGTTACATTATGAAGGGGATGGGGGGCATCAAATATAACAAATGAACATACAGGTAACTTCTCAAATTAAGGAAACACCAACATAAAGTGTCTTAATAGGGCGTTGGGGCACCACGAGCCACCAGAACAGCTTCAATGGAACTTGGCATAGATTCTACAAGTGTCTAGAACTGTTGGAGAGATGCAACACCATTCTTTCACGAGAAATTCTGTAATTTTGTGTTTTGTTGATGGTGGTGGAAAACACTGTCTCAGGCACGGCTCCAGAATCTCCCATAAGTGTTCAATTGGGTTGAGATCTGGTGACTGAGACGGCCATGGCATATTGGTTTACATCGGTTTTCATGCTCATCAAACCATTCAGTGTCCACTCGTGCCCTGTGGATGAGGGCATTGTCATCCTATGGGAGGCATAGCAATGGTAGCCAAAATAACGACCAAAATAATGGCCTTCTCAGCATTTTAATACATGACCCTAAGCATGATGGGATGTTAACTGCTTAATTAACTAAGGGACCACACCTGTGTGGAAGCACCTGCTTTCAATATTCTTTGTATCCCTCATTTACTCAAGTGATTATTTTATATTGGCAGTTACCTGTACAAGGCTGTAGCTCTGTGGAAAA